CAAAGGGACCCCACAGAGCCCATAGAGAACCCATAGAGCCCATAAAGATCCCATAGAGTCCCCACACACTCCATAGGAACCCCATAGGGACCCCACAGGGACCAAAGGGACCCCATAGAGTCCCCATAGACCCCACAGAGCCCATAAGGAACCCATAGGGACCAAAGCGACCCCACAGGGAGCCATGTAGCCCCATAGAGCCCACAGAGTCCCCATAAGGACCCCACAGAGTCCCTATAGGAACCCCACAGACCCCATAGAGCCCATAGGAAACCCACAGGGACCAAAGGGAACCCACAGGGACCCCACAGAGAGCCATACAGCCCCATAGAGAACATAGAGACCCCATAGAGACCCCATAGAGCCCATAGGGTCCCCATAGGGATTCCCAACCCCACACAGAAACCCACAAGGCCTATGAGGACCCCACAGAGACCCCATAAAGCCCATAGACTCCATAGAGACCTCCACAGCCCCATAGAGCCCTCAAGGACCCCAGAGAGCCCAAAGGGACCCACATAGCCCCACAGACCCCATAGAGACCCCGTAGGGATCCACAGAGCCCCATATAGCCCACAAAGACCCCATAGAGATCCCATAGAGACCCCATAAAGCCCAGAGACCCCATAGGGACCCACACAGCCCCACAGACCCCATAGGGACCCCATAGGGACCCACACAGCCCCATATAGCCCACAAGGACCTCATAGAGACCCCATGAAGCCCAGAGACCCCATAGGGACCCACACAGCCCCACAGACCCCATAGGGACCCCATAGAGCCCACAGGGACCCCCCAGAGCCCCTACAGACCCCACCGGCCCCCTCAGGGCCCCCTGCAAACCCCACAGGAGCGCCCCCAGCCGCCCCCCACGCGGCCCTACAGCCGTGCCCGCCCCATAGGCCCCCCAGGCCCCCCGGCGCCCCCCGCCCACCGTAGGTTTCGGACATGGCTGTGGGGCCGCCGGGCGCTGCCGCCGCCGGGCAGTGCGGAAGCGGAGCGGACACAATATGGCGGCGCCCGGCAAAGCCGCTTCCGGCTTTAGTGCGCCTGCGTGACAGGAAGTGCCAGGAGAAGGGTGGGCTTAAGGTGCGATGGAGCTCTGCGATTGGCTCAAAGGCGACCGAGGGGCGGGGTCATACGTAGTGTGGGCGTGGCTAGAAGGAGGGGGCGGGGCCAACAGCGCCCTACCTTGGAGAATGCCCCGCCCCCACCCCGTGGATGCACCGCGATCTGTGGGACCCCCCCCCAAATATTGGGACCCCCGCCACGTGAACAGGGCCCCCCCCCCCTTCTCCCTCCCCCGTGTCCGCTCCGTGGAGTGGGAGAGAACAGATTGCAGGATGCGACTTTATTGCGGGGGGGGCGACCCCCGGGTTCATGGGGGGAGGGGGGGATATGGGGTCGTTGTTGGGGTCTGAATTGGGGTCTGGGGGGCGGGTGGTGACCCCCAGGTGTATGGCGGGG